GATATCTGGCGAATGTCAACATTCACACAGTCGTTTCATGTATGTACGAAATATTTGTTAAATATCATCGTTTCTCACACTGGCAAATGTCGACATTCAGCATGCACTGATGGTGAATGTTAAATAAAAAATACTTTTATTACGTTAAAACAAAAATACAACTTTTTAATATGTGAAAATAGGAGAAAGCTTAAGTAACAGCACATCTAAAAAAACTATTGAACCTAAAACAAACAGTACATTCTTAATCATTAAAGAAAATAATACAATAACAAACTTACACATAAATTATGTGATTAACATTATACAATCTTATTTATTGCTACAACTTAAACTGTTAGGCACTTTGAATTGCTCAAAAGTCCCTTGCTTTTACAACTGCATTTATTCGTGGAACACTTCTTTTTGTGATGACAGCGTGTATAGCCTTGCCCTCCACTTTTCAAATTAGCTGCAGCTGCTTCTCTCAACAATATTTCTTGAGAAGAATTATCATCTATGGAGAGTAACTTTTCTTTACAAATTACAAACTATGTTATTACGTGATTACGAACTGATCTGTTAATGGTGTCTTTTATTCAGATATCGACGACCCCTCTCATCCTCTGTCACTTGACCTGACAAACCGATCCCAACCTCACGGGATCAAAAGACCTTGTCCTACTTCCCACTACCCACAAAGGATTTGGCGACAGACTGTTGCCTCTGTTGGCATCGGCTTCTTGGGTGTCATTTTGACCTCCACCAAAGCTTATCTGTGCTTGCTGACATACACTGGTGATTGTTCAAATGTATAATAATGTAACCAAATATTTGGACTTTAACCAACGTATTTTGTATGTGTCAACATTCACCGGAGAATATCAACATTCTCTAATTTCAGTCTTTCACAGTAACATATATATAATGTTATAATATCTGTATACTGTAGTTCCATTTGTTTATTTTTTTCAAAACAACTAAATTGCATGTGTTTCCTTTGTTTTTATTTTTTTGTTATACTACTGTTTAGTCCTAAATCATTAAGTTTTACATATATATTTATTATTTATATAACTTTATTTATTTATAATTTATCCACCAGAAACATGTGTTGTTGTTGGTTTTTATATCATACAGACAGTAAGATTTCAAATAATTACAAAATCATGCAATAAGTATATTCAGTAAAAATCACAAAATGCTCAACAGTAAAACAAAGCCAAAAATGTTTTTCACACTTCAAAAAAATATATATATAATAATTAATCTTGTCATCTAATTAAAAATATGTAATGCACGGTCTAACAATGCATGTACTATATAGAATTATCATACACCTTACACATAATGCAGGTATGGTTAGTATCCAGTATAATTTATTCCCCCTTTATCACTTAACTGAATTTAGTTTTTATTTTATTTATTATTAATGTAGCTTTTTTTTTTCTTCTTACATTTACCCTGCAGCAACCTTTAAGATTATTTTTGATTTTATAATATTGCTGAATTATTCATGTTTTCTTATTTTGTTGTAATTCAAAAATACAAAACACGAGTTTCTAGCTTTTTCATCTATGCTTTCATATATTAAGGTTTGAGTAGCATGATTCTATGTGCATCTCACAGGTTTTGGTTTTTGGAGAACATCTGTCAGATTAATTAAATATTTTTTCAGTAAAATAATTATAACTTCCCACTTCTGGAAGGTTTCTACTGTTGCATATGCACATGGTGAAAAATGAGTCTCACAAAGAGATATGATAAGACAAAGGAAATTCTTAAATTTTTTACCAGTATTCAATAAGTTTACAGGATTTCGTTTGTATTCCGACAACTCCTTGAACAAAATGTCTAGAATATTAACTCGAACAGGAATGTTAACCTGAATTCTCGCGACAAAGGAACAGCTTTACAAAAATACGCAGCGTTACAATATTAAGCACGATGAACTTACAACTAATTATCTAGGAACTACTTATTCTATAGGGAAGGATAGAAGGAGTATTTGATAGGATAGAACTGAATGTGAATGGGTACCCAACTTAGCTAGTAACTTTATGATTGAAGTTGCAACATGGATCTCTCTGCTGGACAACACAAAGTCTGATGATCATAGAGTTCAAACTTTTCCTTTCTCACTTCGGGTTTCCCGGTAAGCTTCTGGAGGTGTTCTCACATTAGCATACTTCGATGATTCTTCTCTCGTATCTGCTCTTAGACCTACTCGCTCTTGCTCTCTTCTTGGCGATGCGAGATCAACTTGACCCTTTCCACGAAAAATGTCCTCTCAGCTCGACGTCTCTGCCAAAAGTGACCCCTCTATCTTCCTTTTAGTGCCTCCGGGCTAACCTGCTCCTTTTGTCTTTCAAACAAGTAGTTGCCACCCACAGAGAGACGTTTCCAGAAAGGAGAGTACAAGAGAACAAAGGACAGAGAAAGAATGGGAAATGAAAAATATATATATATATATAAAATTACTTTATAAAATTATGGCATATGACCACACTACCTTATTCAGGTTTCAGCTTTTGCAAGTTTTACTGTATCTAATTTTAATTTTTGAAACACTTTCTAATTCACTAATTATTTTAGTGAAAAGGAAAAGGAAGAAGAACAATTGAAAGAACAACAGGCAGAAGAAAATGGTGAATCTTCAAAACTGAATGATGGTGTAGCAGGACCATGGAAAATGAGTGCATCATCAGGTGCATCCTCAGGTGCCAGCCCTGCCTCAGGTAAAATTTTTGTTTTTCATAATTTACAATTCTATGTAAATGAATAAAACTACAAATTGTTAATAAAGTTTTTCCAATTTTATTCCACAAATGCTATAAAATACTAAAATTATGTATATATCTATATATATAAAATTGCATGTCCTGACTGATTGATTATCATCACCCACAGCAAACCGCTTAACCTAAAGAGGTGAAATTTTGACCATGCATTTCTATAATGACATAGATAGATAACTGCTAAGAAATTAATTTTCAACATTCCACCCTTAAGATGGTGAAAAGGGGATACAAAAGTATATATTAGAAAACATATTTTTGGTCAAATTTTGTAGCTTTGTTGCACAGATGGAATAAATTTATCTTTTAAAAGTTTTTGTCTATAATTTCATTATCTTAATAAATATTTTTTGATTTTGTTTAAAATTATAGTACTTAATTGATATTATATTGAATTTCAGAACTTTCCAGTTTAGTCGTCTTTTCTTTTTTATAAATTTTGTATTTTTTGAGTACTTAGTTGTATTAATATATAAAAAATATACAAATTATATTATATGCACAAGTAAAGATAGTTTTGTCAAGTAACCAATAGATAGTGCTGTAGTATTTCTAAAGCGTACTATAGTTTGAAACAAACAAAAATCAGTAATTTTACCAAATTAGTAACAACTAATGATCGAGAATCTTAGAAATAACCCTCCCTTGGTACTTCACTATCAAATTGCAAAATCCGTGTGAGCAAAGCTACGGGTACAGCTAGTATTTGTATAAAATGCTTTCTTTTAAAAATTTGTTGAATGTACAGTAATGTTTATTTTGATGTTGGTCATATTATTTTTCAAATGTATATTTAAAAATATTTCATAATTTATAGAATGTTTGAAGTTCCTATATTGCATTTATTTGAAAAATCCAAATATTATTGACTTATGTATTTTAGCAAGAATCATGATAAAATGGATGGCAGTAGCTAAAGTAAAAAATTTTGAAATTTATTTTAAAAAATATTTAATCTGAATTTTTGAAATTTGAATACTTCTTTTTAAGGTTTTCTTTATTATAATAGTTTGAAAATATATAAATAAAAATTGTTTACATGATCAAAGTTTAATCTTTTTTTAGAAACCATAGTAGTAGAAGAAGAAGTTAAAGAAGGAAAGCAACCCAGTACATATGTACCACCTCATTTACGTTACTCTAGTACAAGTGTTGGCCCAAAAAGAAATCCTAAAACTGCTCCAGAAATTTCAAGTGAAGTTCACTTTCCATCATTATCAGCTTCTGTAGACAGTCCTAAAGGAGTTCAGACAAGGTAAATTATTGTTTATATTCATTGTTATGTAGAACTAGTAAATTTGCCTGTCAAGAATGATGTATTATATAGTGATGTATTATATAGTGATTGGTAAAATGAAACTAAATGAATAACTACTAAGTACAATATTTGATTGAAAAAATTTAGCATTTATCACAACACTTCTTAAAAAAATATTTCCATTATATGTATCATTTTTATCCATAATTACGTGTAGGTTTTATTTTCATGAAAAATATAGCTGAACTCAATGCAATTTTAAAGAAATTATCCTGATTAGTTTTGTTAATGGCTTAAGCCAGCGCTGTCCAACTTATCATAGCTCGCGGGCCATATTTTCTTCACCAAACATTTCGGGGGCCAAGAAGGTTGCTGCTGTATTCAGCCAGGTTAAGTGAAGTTACGCAAACTAAATAGTACCTACTTTAAATTCAAATTAGATTTAAATTTTCACATAGTAAAATAATTTTAATATTAATAATAATAATTTAGTAACATAAATTTATTCATAGTAAAATGTACTCGCAGGCCGTAAAAATTATTTGGCGGGCCGTATACGGCCCGCGGGCCGCCAGTTGGACAGCGCTGGCTTAAGCTATTAAGAAACTTTTTCTATTAACTATTATTTTAAAATTTTGAAGAATTAACAGATATAAATTTCTATCCTGAGATTCCAGCAACCTGCCTACTTGACAATTTGATGTAATTTATCATTCTCATTCAAATAAACCAATAATATAAAACATTAGATTTTACTTATGAAATATGAAATCATATCCCATTACGTCAATTAAATATATGAATACTTTTCAATTGAATTGAAAGTATTCAGTTAGCAAATTTTAAGCTAGAACTCAATATTAACTAATTATTCTAAATTAGGATGCTCAGATGACCATAAAGATATGAATGATAATTTCATGTAAGACAAAGTATTTCCAAAAGTATTGTAAATTATTAAATTAAATCTAAGAATTATTTTAAAATGTCATATGTAAAACTAAGAAACATTGTAATGAGAAGGAAAAATTCTATGGTATATTAGCATATAAGATTTAAGATAAATCTAATCTAATTGCCAATAATAACTAGAGAGAGAATTCATTAATAAATTATATATAAAGTGATTTTACTGAATGAAAATATAAACTTTTTTTTTTTTTTGTTTTCAGCACACAAGACAAAAACTTCCAATCTGTTAAACATGGCATCAAATCCAAAGATGTCTCATCGCAAGGTCTTCAGTTAGATCTGGAAAACAAATTTGCTGCTCTACATCAAGGAGAGTATAATTAATAATTAGAAGTAATAGATAAAATGAAACTATGAAATATTCTGTCCACTTTCCCAGATTCCAATATAAACTGTGACCATGTCTATAAGTGGGAGTTAAAAAAATTTTATGAAAATTCATCTAAGCAAAGGAGTCTGTTGAAAAAGGACAATTATTGTTATCAATGTGATTTTTGGAGGGATATTTTTATTCTTTTTCTAAAAGTAGCAATATTATAAAATTAGAAGGAAACCAATACTTTTTACTGATAACACTAAAATCTCCTTCCCTCTCGTTTCACTAATGCCGTTCAAGTGAATTTTCGACTCATTTCATTTTAATTGTAGACGGTGTGAATGGATATATTAGATTTTTTAAATAATCTGTGTTTGTTATTTATAAGTCAAAAATGCATCTGTTAAAACACATAAAAAAAAAAATATGGTTGGGTTTAATTGTAATGTTGCATAGGAAAAAAACATAAATATTATATATATATAAAACTACTATGATTTAGATTTATGTACAGAAATACAATCAGAGAACAAAAAATTATAAGCATGTTAGTGTACTTGTATATTTGTTTTGGCACAAGAATATACACAAAAAATTCAATAATGTATAAAATTCTGTAATTTGATCATATTTAAGAAAATTTTCTTTAACATATTAATTGAAAGATGAAATGTGTTGGGCTTTATCACAGTATATAAATATGTATAATTATAATTAAAATACAAATTGGTTAAATATTTGTACAGATACTGTCAAAATTTCAAACTAGGACAGTGTATATAGAAACAGATTTAAAATCAAAAAATATTAAATGATTATAAATATGTATAAACATTTAAAAATTTGTACTTTTTGCAAAAATAATCTAAATAAAAAATAGCCCATTGTATATTTGTGGTATTATTTATTTTTTTGCTGTTTCAAATTTAATTTTATAAACATTTATGAATTTCTTATAAATGAAAAAGTGCATTTACTCACAAAATTTCAAAGGCTATTATATATTTGAAATGCTAATATTTTTTAGGTAATGTGCTTAGTTTCATTGTAAGCATTGTATACTTCTTTGCTACAACAAATCTTAATCATTTTAATAATGAATATAACAAAAATATTCAATGTATACTGAAGTTTAATTATAATAAAATCTTAAATGTAAATTCAGATATACAACTGAATTTGTTCCTGCCAATTAGTAGTAACATGAATTTTATAATTCTGTATCCTAACACTATATTGTAAATGTAAAAATGTCAAAATACACACACGTTGAAAAATTCATTGAATTTTATTTTCTTTCCAGCAAGAAATACAAGGCACATCAATATAAAACCAGAAAAATGCTATTAAAAGTCTGGAGGATGAGCAATAGGGTAGTAATTTTCACTCATGAAACTTCCAAATAGAGGCAACATTGTTGATACATGAACATAAGACAGCAGACCAATAAAATGATAGCATGCCTCCATGTTACAAGTAGATTTTTAAGAATGAAATTTTTATCCAAATTGATTTCATTTACATAGTTAAACTTTTTCCTTATTTTAAATCATAACTATTAATTACTTAATTTAAATAAAGACAAACTTTCTCTATTACCTTGTGTAACCTATCTTTATTATTGTATATAATAGCAGAGCATAATATAACATACACACACACTATGATTAATACAGTTGCCAAAAAAAATAAATGGAAGTTTCATCATTATTGTCAATTTAAACTGTTTTAATCATGAAAAACAATTTTCTGTAGAATAAGATTTAAAATTTGATGTAATCCTCTGCAATGTAATATTTAAATTTTTATGCATCCCTTTCATATTCTAATTCTTAAATGTGATTAAAGATATAACAAAGTACATGTTCAGAATCTTTCTTTTGAATTATGTTAGCTAGATTAAAAGAACAGTAAAACCCATTATCACTTATTACAATGTACATAATTTTCAGTCATTTTTTTAACAGTCAAATTTTAATATTACACAATGTAATGTATTCCTAAAAATTCATTGTTTTAATTTCTTAATGAATTCCAATATTTAAAGCTGTTGACTTAATACTCATGACAGAAAATTTTGTTATAAAAGGTACTAAATATAAAATAGCAATAGTGTGGAAATTGCAATAAAAAATCAGAACTAAAGATTAACATATTGTCGTTGTGACTATTGTCAAAGTTAATATTTTGTAATATTGTTTCAAAGTACACACTGATATTTTTAAAGCTAGATAATCAAAGAATGCATATACAAAAATCTCATGATTATAATTAAACTGTAGATAAAGTAAAAGCTATTTCTGTAGGAAAAAGTTGAGAGTTAAAAACTTGCCATTTATTTTCTTTCATAGAAACAGTCTTATTTTTTCCCCCTTTGTAATTACATTTCAAAGCATTTGTTTTCTTTATCTTGCTCTTTTTTCTTTTAATAGACTAGCAACATAATGAATTTTTTGTTTTAAAATCTAATATTATACAAATCAAAAAATATTTATGCTCATAAGAACATTTTGATAGATATATTTATCTGATGAATTAAACTTAATAACAAAAAATATATTTGCAGTTGTCATGAGTTTCAAATCCAAAATTTAAACTTTGAAAAGGAATCTCAAACTAAATGCAGATTAAAGATAATTTTCAGATGGTTATGTTGGTATAATAAACATTCCACAAATTCTCATATAATCACACATGTAAACAGCCACACTTAATTGCCCACAGGTGATTAAGTGAAACGTTTTTATTACCATAGTATCATAAAGGCTGATTTCCACTATATAGCTTCATGCAGAAAAATTGATTGTAATTGGACTGTAGCTATGCAAGTTTGTGCCATATGTTGAAACTGCAGAATGGAATGAGTAGATGAATCTATTATTTTTGACAGATATGGATGCTTACACATAGATGAAATTGATCAATAGCTTATAGAAAATTTTTCTGATCAAAAGTTATGACTTATTTCCACCAACTCAATGAGGTTTGTCATAAGATCTACTTTTATATAACTGGTCTTGGAGAGAATATTATGATACAATTTTAAATAGTAACATATGGATGAAAATTTTGGAAGAATTAGAAATTGGTTGGTAATTCTAATATCATATGCTATTGGATGGAATACTTTGGTGGAAAATGTCAAGTGTGATCAAATGTCTGCTTTTTTTCTGTAACAAACATGAAGTGGACAAAACATCCATGTAATTGCCCATGAGTCAGTAATTTCTCTAATAACACATAAAAAAAAACACCATTTGACTAAACATACATATGTAATGATTTAAATTAAAATTAATGAAGACTCAGTTTGTAACAACTCAGCCTGTTTAGAAGAAACTGATTATAAAATTATTTTGAAGTTTTGTCAAAAAGTGAAGAAATCATTTTTGATGATAATTAATAGAATTCAAGCAATAGTTAAAAATTTCTGATTTATTTTCTTTAAAACAGAATAAGTTATTTCAAAAACCTAATGTAATTATAATCAAGATTTCCAAAAAATTCCCATTGGACCCAAATCACATTGCATAGTGATAGTTATATTTTCAATCAAATTGTGTTGCTACCAATAACAATAAATGGACCGTTTATTTTGAAAGTGGTGTAAGTCCATTTTTGGAAAAAATTGAGAAAACACATAATATACATACAATTTAGTGTGAACTTTTTATTTATAAACAATTCACACTTAACATTTTAAAATAACCATAAGCTTTGATCAATTGAAAATTTATCGATAAATGACATTGCATAACCATTGATTTTGAAAGTGGTATAAGTCCATTTTCTACAGTCTAAGCACTTGGGCTATCCATAAATTACATGTGCATTTTTCTTGAAATGTTTACTTTTCCCTCTTGTCCCAGTTTGTCCAAGTTTTTGTAACCCCTTTCCCTCTATGGATGTCCAACATAACTCTATCCCTGTTAAAACCTTCATCACTTTATGAATGATAGATACCATAAGTAGAAATGAAACATACAAGAAACTTTGAAATAAATATAATAAAATGCATATTGTATAAAATTTAATGAAATAAATGGATGTCCACTAATACTCAACCCTCCTTGTCCAACTTGTCTTAACCCCTCCCTCCCTTTCAGTGTGGACATCATTTAAAGACAGCCCCTTACAACAGAAGAGTAAAACTGTAAATATTACCAACAAATGTACAATTTGATGGACTAGAAAAAAATCCATGTAATGAATCTAAATGAAAAGCAGTGTCTAATGGTAAGCTCATAATAATGATAAATTTATCATAAAATAGTTTAACAATAAGTAAATATTTTTAATGTTCAGAATAAACAATACTATTTTATTTCTTGTTATTATATATGAACAAAATCAGAATAAAACGCAATGTGTTTCAAGTGACATTGAGTTTTACATAATAGAAATTTAATGAATTTTACAGTTTAGTAATTATGAAAGTGGTGTAAGTCCATTTATGGCCCAGAAAGAATATATTAGTTTAGTTAAATTCACATAGAAATCTTTATGCAATCAACTTATATATTTCTAAAGTCATAAAAACATTGTCAAACTTATTACACTTTATTTATATTTTTGAATCAACTAAAATGCAAATGTTTAAATATCTCGAAAGAAGAAAAAATGGACTTACACCACTTTCAAAATAAACGGTCCAAATGTTGACAATTGCATTTTTGAAAATGTCTTCATACCTTAAAATTTGTTGACATCAGCTGAAAATTTTCCATTCAGTATTTATAATAGTTAATACTGCTGTTGAAGTAGATATCAAATGCTACAATAGAAATTCATATGAGAATCTTAATTTACTGGCCACATTTAGTAGTCAATGCTGGCTGAATGGTTTCTTAAACCTGAGGCAAAACTGACTGCCCGCTTCCAGAATGGATGTCAATACAGATACCTTTAGTAATAACACTCTTGTATGAACTATTTATAAACAACTTCAAATTATTTTTATGGAACTTCACTGTATTCAGCTTGTTTTTTCTCCTTTTTGAACATTATTGAATGTTTTGCTACTTGAGGGAATTACCTCATTGCCTCCACCATTGAGCCAGTCCAAGTTGTAATGTTAATCTTCATGTAGATTTATCATTATTTGCTTATCCTTTCATAATTTTACTTGCTTATAATACAATAGTATAATAAAAAATAAAGCTGTTCTTGTTGCATGACAGCATTGTTATGAGTTAATCATTTCAAATATAAATTTGAATAAGAAAATCAAACATTAACATTTTAATTATGAATTTATTTTCTTTATATATCTTACATAAAATAATTTCCTACAAAGTTTAACAATTCTTAAAATGCTATTTGACCTGTTTTCCTGTGAGTAAACATTTTACAGAAATGCTATGTTCCACTTTTTGTAAATAATAATACATGCATTGTACAATATTTGGAATTTCTTTGGGAGATTATTAAACAAAAACTGATTTATTCCACTTTTAATATTCCTTTTTATATATCATCTATGCTAGAAGTATCTTCACTGCAATAAAAAGATTTGTAGGTAAATAAATAATTTATCTTGAATCTAAATTATATCTACTTGAAATATAATACAAATAAAATCCAAGGAAAAAAATTTCTAAGATTCACTTTTTTTTTATTTTTAACAGTTACTTCCTGTTTATCCAAATAAAAATCTAAATTATTTATTTCAAACAATAATTTTACTAATAACAAAATTTAAATTGTCAAGATTCTATAAATCTAAAAGTAATTCTTGTTAAATATCTTCATATACATTGTAATTTTGGAAAAGCTACTAGAAACCATTTTAACAAATAAAAGATTTTTATTAATGACGCAATGAATATTCGGTTACTATTCAGTACTTGGCCTATGTTTCACTATTTCGCTGAATATCAAATATGTAATCACTATTCGGCCAAATACCGAATACCTAAAAACAGTAGTAAGAAATAACAAATACACAGTAAATTAATCATTTTGGTAACTTTTATTAATGATGATCATACATCTCAAGTTCGAGAAAGTGCAATTTTTTGCTTGTTTATGTAAAAGATCAAAGGAAAAGTTATTTTTTTAAGAGATCAAAAAAAGGTAACAAATCAAATGAAAACTACCTACTTATGTAGTTTAGTCATCTACATACTCTCATATAAAAGAACAAGTCCTGATAAAATAATTAACACAGAGCCAAAACTACTGGCACCAGAAACTTAAAAATTTGAGGGTGTGTTCCTTTTGTAAAGTGTAGGCATGCTAAGAAAAGATTTTACTAAATTCAACCCTAAAGGGGTGAAAAGGGGTAAAAAATTTGTATGAAAATTTTTACTGCGTGGGCACATTAGATCAAAACTTGAGTCATAAAATGTGAAAATAATAATAATTAATGATCTGTAAAGCATTTTTATGAAATCATCTATTATTATAAACTTGAAAATTAACTTTTTTGTTTCATTGTACAAAATTATTTATCATAACTTAAGTTCCAGACAGCTTGGTAACCTGAATGGCCCCAAGCTTTTGCCCATGCACATTAAGTGACTCATTACAAGCATTTAGTTTTCCGAAATCTATGAGAACAATTATTTGGCATTGACAGCCATGAATTTCATGCCAATAAGTTGTCTCGACTTGTTCAATTATGTTATCAACTCAATTTCATATTTATTTTCACATTTTCACTTCGCAGTCCTTCTCTATTCTTTTTCCATTATTTACACGTGTAGGTCATTTCATTCTTATCCACATTTGATATAATCACTTATCACATACTGCCATGACGCTCATGTCTCTCCACTACAACTGTCAAGAATTAACGTGATTGATGAAGCGTTAGTGATAGCGGGCTAATATAGAGCAGGGTTTGCGATCCTGCCATAATGCGGTTTGCACGCCAATTTTCGTACATGTGTTAATCAAGCCAAATAGTTTGGCTGAATATTCAGCTATTCATCCACACTCCTGGCTGAATATTCGGTATTCAGCCTGAAGCTGAATATACTATTTGTTGCATCATTAATTTTTATGAGTTTCTTTGTTTAAAAAAATCATAAATATTTAGGCTATAGGAAGAAAAAGTTTGGCCATTAGATAACAATGTATGTTTATCATCATTCCTCCCTGTATCTAAAGTGTAGCAGACTAATAAAATATTAATTGTAAAGACTTTTATAATCAAAGTGGCTAAAAATGTATTTATAGCAACATTGTATAGACAACACTTGTGGTTTTAAAAACAAAACCAAAACTAGTGTTTATAATGCTGACTGCTTACACAAGTGTCACTTCATATAACATTGCAGAACTAACAAATGACCAAGTGGAATTTAGAAATATCCCTCAAGAGCCATTCACCCTTACCTTACACTGTTTTATTTCTTACTCAATTGAAGATGAGTGAATACATTATTTAGTATTTAAAGTGAGGGTGAAATTAATGACTAGTATGAGTGTGCACATCAGTGAATACATTATTCTTTCATCATTAAATTATAACAATCACAATCTCTTGCCATTATTTATGAATGTGTTTATTTCATTATTTTTGTGAGGTTATCAGAAGTTAAAGTGTGAATTATGACATCTAAGAAGAGAAAATCATTCATGATATCCAATGAAAAACATGATTTAATAGAGATAATGTCCAAAAACAAAGATATTAAGTGCAAGAAAACTACTTATTAATTTCCATAACATTCAAAAATATATATAATTATTAGAATATTTAAGTTAATATAAGAAATATTCTAATAACTTCATATATGTGTTACAGTTGAATCTTTAAGTCTTAAAAATATGTATAGTTGTAATTTAATAAATTGTTACATATTTCTATACATTTTCAATCTGAAATAAACTATCACAATAAACATGTTTTATTATCTGTATGTACTGTACATGACATATTTACCTCTATATACAGATCAATGAAAAACTTACATATAACAATTTCTTTTACATTCTTGTGTTTTTTCCAAATTAAAATAAATTTTATGGCTGGTTTTGGGGTTTTTTGGCACAAGGGCCTGGAGAAGCCAATGAATGCAAAGTCTAGCCAGTTTTGTATCTGCATGTCCTTTTCAGTCTTTTATTATGTCACTATCTTTCTGTTATGTCATCTTAGAGTTCTGTATATAATTTTATCACCTTCAGATATGCCAATAAATTTTTTAAAAATAGTAAATCCAAATGTAATAAAATTTTAAAATACATTTGAATTTATTATATTAATTTTTAAATTTCAATTTTTAATCTGTATGTTTTGCTAATCTAATATCATTCTATTAAGACTTAAGTTCTTGCTCTTGAAATACAAAATGTCCTTAAAGTATCTGTATGGTGTGTGCTGAAACAGCTTACAGCTCAGCATAAGCAGCAGTGCATAGATGTTGCAAACCAGTTTCTCCAATGCTATGAAGATCCTGGTATCTTGGAACAAATTGTGACAGGCAACATATGAGTACACCACTATGAACCAGAGAGCAAGAGACAAAGCATGAAGTGGAAACATCTGTCATTCCCTGTTTGAAAGAAATTCAAACAACCATCCTGCAAGAAACTGATGCTAATGCTCTTTTGAGATATACAGTCCTGTGTATCTCAAAAGAGCGTTGATCTGATGGTATTCTAAGCACATGGTGAAACTGTAAACAGTGCAACGTATTGTGCTTTGCTACAAGACTAATTGAAACCTGCAATTCACCAAAAACAATGCAGACTACTGTCTAAAGAAGTACTACTGCTCCACAACAACACACAGCTGCTTACAGCAACGGTACAGACTGCATAATGGCTTGGATTTGAATTGCATTTGCATCCCCCTTACAGTCCTGATCTAGTACCACGTGATTACCACATCTTTGGCCCTTTGAAGGACACTATGCAGTCACAGATTCAGCTCAGATGGTGAGGTTCAAAAAGTGATGCAGACATGGCTTTGTGAGCAAACAAAAAGCTTCTTTTTAGAAGGGATGAAGAAGCTCATCAAACAATACCACTGTGCAGGGGACTATGTAGAAAAGTGGCATATGCATTTGTTCTCCATCAATGGAAATAAAGCTATTACAGTATCTGGAAGTTGTCTTTTCTTTCTGATTCACCCTCATACAAGTTAAAACTGATTGCTTTGATATAAATTTAAACTATTTTATTATACAGAATTTAATAATTCTGTATAATAAAATTTAATACAAATTTTTAAAAATAAAATAGTTTATAGTTTGGTATATTTTTACAACATATAAAGCAATATATTATGAAATTGTATAGAGAATTATATTATTTATAAATCTTAATATAATAAACAATATTTATATTTGTTGATAATAAATTTTATCACAACTAAGTTATTAAAATATTTTATTTTATATTTATAATTTTTATATAGAAAATAAGGCTTAATCAAGCTGAATATTTTTACATTCTAAAATATATGGTGGGCCAGTTCTGTTATACCTTGAAACATATTTTAAGCCATGAGATCCTTCAGATGAATATTCCTCTAAATGTGGAAGTTCCATCATATAAGATTTATATTCTGTCAAGAAATAAATCCATGGCTTTAAAGTCTTTCCATCTGTACAATATGTTTTGTCCTTGCTTTCTAAGACCTGAACATTTTCTTCTTTTCGTTCATAATATGTTGGATGGCATTCTAATTCATCCATTTTTTTAAGCATTACATCATCTACTAAATACAGTTCACCTATAACATGCTGTGAAAAGAGAATTTTTAATCATCTCAATCATAAAAGAAAGAAAAAATATGTAAAATTTTATAACAAATTATTTTATTATTTAAAAATGTATTTCTAATTTGTTAGCTTAGTTGTTGTTAAACATTATTGCTAAATAATTATTATTTTGAAACTAATATTCTAATTAATGGAAATTTTTAATAGATATGTTGTACAACCAATTTCACTACCACTTGGCAAGTGAATCTAGTAAATTGACATGAAAAAATATTTAAAGCTTCATCCCCACTAAAAGAAAAAAATTACTGTGGAAAAACAATGCAGAAACAGAAAATAAAAATTTTGTTTCCATATCACAGTCTAGAAAACAAAGTTAAAAATATTTTATTTTTCTACTGTGCACACAGAAATAGAAGCTTGATAGCCAACAGAAAGCAATAGTTGTAAATAAAGATATTGAAAGGTTAATATGGTAGACAACAAACCCATATATGTCAAATTGCTTACAATGAAATGTAAACATACCATTATATTAGTAACTTTTTAGATATCCAACAATATTTAACTTTTGAAAAAGTGCATAAAAAGGAATGAATCCAGAACACGATGATAAATTATTTGCTTGTCATTATATTATCAACCATGCTACTACTAATTTGGAATTCTCATGTCATTTCAATGCACTAATAATGGACATTACTTGAATTTGTCTTCTGCAAAACAGACATTACATCTCAAGTGTTTTCTGAAAATGTTATAAAACACTTTGTTTTCTATTTGTTTCTTCTTCAAATAGTAACTATGATTTTCTGTGATATTTCTACAATATTTACAGAATATTATACTATTTTATAAGTGAAAACTAGACTTTATTATTACATGAAAAATCAAGATGTGTTTTATGAATGTTGTTTTGAAAATTACATTCATTTTAAGATGAAAACAATAATCATAGTTTTGAAAGGATCAGTCCAACATTACTAACAGACACATTGCAAAAGCTGGTTCATACAGTGAATTAACTGCAGTGTTTCAAATGCCCTTCAATATACTTGTGTTTATTTGTGTCTATATTTACATTTCTGTGAAGAAACAGGAATTTATTTTCAAATACTGCATCATCATAAAATTTTCTGTTATCCTTTTTTTCTTTTTATGTGTGTAGCTATTCCTTCATTCCACCTAGATGGTGGACTTTGTACCGAGTAAGTACCTTGGTCATTTACACATAATATACAAAGATATGATTGAACTTAAAATGACAAGACAATTTTAATTTTTAAATTTTGATACTGATGACCATTTACATTAACAATCATTTATTTACTCATTTATCAATAGTAACCAAATACCTAATTGCCAGATTTTTTGGACTAAATATATAATCTGGCCTAAAGGTAGGCAGTTCATCTATCAATATAAATAATCTAATTTAGAATAATTGGAAGAAAAGAATGAGGTTTCAAATCTGCATTTTCCATTTATTATATTACCCCAGTTATGCTAGCTTGACCCCCATCTGATCCATTGAGTATTGATCCTAATTGAATGCAAGAAGGCCTTATTTCATAAGTGTGTTAGATTCCCAGTCCAATGTTCATAAAATGAAGAAAAATTTTAATTTATTCAAATACAATTGGTTCTTTCAGTACAAAAATTGACCTCTATAACTTAATTTTTATAACAAATTATGGTTATTTTATAATCACTTTATGGAATTAAGGCAGTTTGAGCTCAAGTGGCAGAAATGTTTTAATTCACGGTGACAATCCATGGCATAAAATTTTTCCATTACTTCATATCTTGAATATGGTCATTGGTATTAAGATAAAGTACAGTAAGACCCCACTTAACGTGGGGGATGTATTCCTAGACAACAAAGAGCTAAGCAAAACAGCATTAAATGAGGTCATTTTAACAGAATAAATAGGGATAGGGAAACACGTGACCAAAAATAAACAAATTTTACTTTAATTTTAAGTTATTTTTATATTAATTTGTATAATAATATATGTTAAATAACACATAAGCATATGCACACAGAAATGTAAAGTTCATTTTTTGTGATGAAGGTCCTGACTTTTCTGAAATTCTTGTTCCTTTGTAATAAAGTCGTGAAGTTTTATTTGTCGCTTTTTTCTTTCCTTAAGCAAATGTCGGTAGCAGAAGCCTGCATCCAAAATCCCTCATTTTGCCTTTCAAAATCTGGACCATTTGCTACAATTTGATCAACGATTTCAGTTATCTTACCAAACTTCTACTAAGAAATCTGTAGAGAAATATTTTGGGTTCTTCATTTTCAGAATCTCTATTTTCCAGTTCCACATGAATTCCATGTTCTGCCAGTTCTTGAAGGTCATCGTTGGTAAGGCTCTCACCAGAAACTTGCAGTAACTCCTCAATATCCTGCTCGTCTATATCTCCTAGTCCTGTTATATCGATTAGGTTGAGTTTGGCCAACCTAACGATACAGCAATAGGCTCTTCTCGTTCAGAATTCTTAGGTATCTTCAACCATAACTTCTTCCATACTTCATTCGTGCATGTATCAGTTAATTCTTGCCAAGCAAAGTCAATATTTCCTATGGCATCCATGATGTTATATTTTTTCCAAAATTGCACCAAACAAACAGATTTAAAAAAAGTACACTTTTTTTGCCATGTTTTGCTGATTGGTTCGTGTTCATAAATAATCAATTATATACCAATCAATGAAATGCTGTGATAATTTAAATCAGTTTAAATTTTGAGCTTTTTTTAGGCTTCGAGCAGACCACGTTATATTGAATCTGCGTTAAGCAAGGCAGTGTTAAGCGGGGTCTTACTGTATTTGCACACAGAAATTGTTATGTATATTAGTTATTGTCATAACTGTGTTTAGAAGGATCAAATTTTAAATGTTTTACACACTTAAGAATGATATTCACCTTATCCAATGCATAAATCATTTCCATTTTTCTCCTTAATAGTAAGTGACTGTAGAGCCAATTTGATGTCTTTCTTAGCTTTTAGATGTCATTTTAATTTATTGTTTAAATACTATTAGCAAAACTCATTTTTTAGCAGTTCTTACATTATTCATATATAATCAAAGCCTATATTGCTTTGTAATCTCTATCAACAATATTATAGAATATAATGCAAAAAACAGTTGCGAACACTGCATACTCATTGCACCTTTGTTTTTGTCTTTTGCCAAGTTTTGTTATTTTTGTGTTATTTTTGCTGTTGATTTGGAAATTGTCATTAATTTGATCTTCATACACAGAATAAATATAAAATGAAATTTATATTCAAAACCTTCTTGTATTGTGCTTTGTTTCTATTTCATAAATTTTTCAAAGTGAACATCATGCATTTTTTAATAATAATTTAGTTAAACTGAATGATGTTACTTATTAACTATATTTTAATCTTATACATTAACTTATAATTAAGATCTAAAACATTATAATGGCATTAGCAGTTTGTTTATTACTGTTTGTTGAATTGAATTTGATTTTATTCTGAAATAAATAATCATTAAATATAAATTGTTAGATCAATTGTGTGAGATGTTATATGCATTTAGTAATGTGTTCTATCATGTGAAAATAGATCTGATCTCAAAAGTTTTTAAATAAAAATTATTCATATTTATCAAATTTAAATCTGATAAAAATGTAATTAAAATATGTAATTACAATGTAAATTAAAAAATGTAAAATATATTTTTTCACATGTTTATAATCTAAACATACCTTTCCTTTATTTTTAGCATATAGCAAGAAAGGAATATTATATCGTGAAGCAATTACAAGTGGCCATTTGTCATACGTTTTTGCTTTTCCAATATAATTACAAATCCCATTGTCTTCATTAGTAAGAATATCATAGTTTGGTTCTCCAGATTTCAGGGTGCCATAGACAAATACCAAATTTTTTTCTGCCATATTTCTGTAATAATGTATTCCTATAAAACAAAAATCTAATATAAATATAGAAAGTGTGTAATCATAACCCTGCTAAAATAAAAAATGTTATGATTGACTTCATTTATGATATTTTAAATTTTTTATCTTACGGTCATGAATTTTTTGTATCAAATTTCGAATTGGGCAGTTGAATCATTTATATCTATATTCAATTCTCTCTTAACAAGCATTTACCAAGTGAAAGCAGGAGATATGCACCAAGAAAAGCACCAAGTATATATCACTTGGTAGTTTTTGAAAATTATCTGAACTCTTATTATAGAGGAATAATATCAGTGGTATGAGTGGAGAATTCTGTAAATTGAAATTTTGATCTCCCCTTTGGCTCATCCTTTCTTTTGTCCATGATAAATATAAAAGAGCTGGCTGAACTCTCATTCTCAAGTAATGATGAGCACTAACTAATAAATAGTAGTTAAGTTACATTATGTAGGCAATGTAATTTAACTAGTAGTCAAATTATACTATATAGTTACTATACAGTACTCTAATGTACTGAACTTTACAGTAGAGTATAGAGTATAAAAATAAAGTGTGAACTTTACAGTACACACTTTATTTTTATAAAATAGTCAAAACTACTAGTTAACTACATTTAAACTATTCATAAATAGAAAAAATATATTAGACTGGATTAAAATAATATCTTTGTTTTCATTTCATCTTTATTATCCCACACTTCTAAAGCTTTTTTTTTTTTAACAGATGGCTCAGAATACAAGTTTTCAAATTTTTCATCCAGCATTCTGCAGTCTATGTTTTATGTCCCAACAAGGAAAATAGATGTTTCACTGCAGCACTACTGGCAATAGTGTTGTATTCTAAAAATGCATTCTTTACATGCTAGTAATTGTGTAACACACTCAAACTATCATGGTCTAAGGGTACATTTGTAAAGTCGAACGAGTTAAATGTGTTAGTAACAAATTGGTCAAAAAGTAGTAGTCTCTATCAGTGAGTATGCTCTGCAGTAATGATGTTTTGAACTAACAAAGTTCATGAAGGAAAGAGTTAGTTTACTTCGTTAAGAAAACGATGCCTGACGATATCGATGTTTCTGAATCTATTCGAGTGTTTAAATTGTGAATTAAAAGATAAAATGATAGTAATAACTGTCCAACCGAAGCAATCTAAAAAAAATATTTTGAATAATGCTGCACTAGCAACATTCATATCTTTGATTTTAGAAAAAGCCATTTATTTATAAATGAATTGGTCAAAAAGTCTAACGAAATAAGAATAACAATGACATCATTCTCGTTTAACTCATTCAACTTTACGAATGTACCCTAAGTTTCAAATTTTACTTGAAAATTCCTGCCAACCAATTTAAGAAGTAATGACTTGATATGAGTACAAAACAAACTAAAAATATACTTACATAATAAAACATATTTTCTTACATATATGCATGGTAAAATATTAGTGAAACCTGATTTAAAATTCAAATTAATAATAACCAAATTTCAAATGCTACAATTGCTCAAAAACAAGTAAAAACATTGAACCAAGCTTGTTAACTTGAATCAATTTTCATAAAAATCAAGATGTATGTTCTGCTTAATAATTGAAACTGAACATGTACTTAACTTAGTAGTTTAATTACTAAATTAGGATAGTAATTGTAAGTAATAGTTAAAGTAGTACATTGAGAGTAGATAATTATGTAATTTAATTACATTAGTAGTTAACTACTGCCCATCTCTACTTTTGATTTATATGGTTATGATGTAGTTTCAATCCTAACCTATCACTATCAGATCACACACTAGGAAAGCATAAAAATCCAATATATACTATGTTTCAGATATTTCGTCCGAAAAACTAGAGAATGGAGATTCAATCTTCTTGCATTTTCTGTTTGAAGCATGATCAAATTAAGGGGAGGTCAAAATTTCAATTTACAGAATTCTCCACTTGTGACCATACCATCTTCTAAGAATTGTAAGTTACATTAGTCGGTCAATCTTTACCTATGTGCACCGTCATGGCCACACTGTGGGGACCCACGTTCTAACCTAACTTAACCTATTCTAATAAATTACCAAATTACCAAACAAATTATTGGTAATTTATTAGAATAGGTTAAGTTAGGTTAGAACTTGGATCACCACTGTGCGGCCATGACGGTGCACATAGGTAAAGATTAACCCATTAGTCTTATGAAATCTGACAATTATTATTTTACCTATTTACTTACTTTTAAAGATTTGTATAGGAAACCTTAAGAACATCCAGCTGATTAGAGAGAAAATTTTAAATTATTTACATAAATAAATGAATGAACAATATACTACTTATGTTATAGGAAGTAGGTAAATTACATAAAATAACTTATAAGAATATCTTATAATAACTTATATCAATCATCTCGAAAATAAAAAATAAAAAGATAAAAAAAAAAAAGAGAGAGAGAGAGAATAAATAATTATCAGTCCTCTAACATGTGACTAGCGTTGCCAGATGTTTTTTGCCCTTGTAGCCAAATAATTTTTAAAAAGTAGCCCAAAAGTAGCCAACTGCTCGAGCACTTGGCTACTTTTGGGCTATTTTTGTACTAGGCGTTGTTTTACGTAGTACTTTTCTACTAATCTACTTGTCACAGTACCAAGGTTACGTTCGTAAAGTCAAACGAGTTAAACACGTTAGTAACGAATCGTTCGAATAGTAGTAATCTCGCTCAGTGCGCATGCTCTGCGGTGATGACGTTTCGAACGAAACTCTAACGAAGTTCACGAAGGAAAGAGTTAGTTTATTTCGTTAAGAAAATGGCGCCCGACGATATCGATGTTTCTAAATCTACTCCAGTGTTTAAATTGTGAATTAAAAGATGAAATGATTGAAGTAACTGTCCACTCGAAGCAATCTAAGAAAAATATTTCGGATAAGGCTGTACTAGCAACATTCGTATCTTCGATTTTAGAAACAGCCATTTAGTTCTAAACGAATTGTTCGAAAAGTCTAACGAAATAAGAATAACGATGACGTCATTCTCGTTTAACTCGTTCGACTTTACGAACGTGCCCCAAGATACCCAACACCATATTCCTAGTATCATTCATGAAATCCTAATACCTTTCCTTTCAAAACATTCATTTTTATTCTATATTTCTGTATTTTTTTTTTTTTTTTTAAATCTATTTACTTTACTTTGGTAGTAAATAGATTTTTTTTATTGCTTCCTCATTCAAGTGCAGCAGTTGAACGTATTTTTTTTGCAATTACATTTAATAAAAACTATACAAAATCGAGTTTTTACCGATGCCTTGAAGCACTGTTATTAGCAAAGGAGCTACTTAATGTATTTTATGTACTTAATATGTGTCCGACGTTCACGTTTTCGCCATAAAACGTCGACCGCAATCTCTTTATTAAAGAGATGTTCGAATCTCATTACGCTCGCATTTATCATTTCCAATGTGCATTTTTCTGAAAAATGTCGTCTTTGATCGACGAGATCACATAATAATAATAATCTGTGCACAGTTTCTACGTGTCGAAACATTTTCCAAATTACACCATTTTAATTTAAATAATTTAAAAATACATAGATTAGAACGACAGGGATTTTCAAATACAGTAGTTAATATTGTAATACGTGTTTAGCGCAAAAAATAATTCTTTCGACGGTCCTCCTTTGAATTCAAATTCTCAGCCAACTGATAAGTGTAACCCAATGTTAATTGTACAAACAAAAATTCTGACGAAATAATCTGGCACAATTCTTTAATCCTTTCATATCATTTTTGTCCCAGATGTTATATATAACAGAAGGTAAATATGGCGGTCGAACTAAATATGACCCACCCAACATTTTACGTTTTTTGGACTCGGGTACATTGAAACGTCGAGAAATGTAAAAATATTTGGGTTTTTTTTCAATATGTATGATTTCTGCGTTTGGGAGATCCACGATTTTCTTCATCCAATCTGAAGCAAAATAAATCCCGTGGTGTTTGACCAAAATTTCTGAAATTTTGCAGGAAAAATTTGTATATTAGGGAATGGATGCAGTTAAGTTTTCATAGTCAAAGGTCGAGAGGATGAGGGGAAAAAGCGAGTCGTGTGTCTTATCTCGAGTAGGGTAGGACTTAGATTTTTTATGAAACTCATCAACTTCAAAATTAAGCTTCTTGTTATTTTAAAAGAATTAATAATATAAAAAGTTGTTAAATAAAATATTGTAACAGATGGCGTTATCAGAACATCCAACTCCCTCCAAAGAACTTATTAAAAATTATGCTGATAAAGTTACCCGGCTCAGAATATGTTCTGAAATTTCAAGATAAAGTTAATCAAAAATTTATATCTCGTTATAAAGATTTAGATGTAAAATTTATCAGCAAAAATACTTTAAAATTAGATAAATTTAGTTACGTATACTTTTCAATGATCTTCTGTTTATTCGTCTTTTATAGCAAATAAATGAAAATGTTTGCAGACCTCTGAGCAGTCTTCAGTGAAAATAAAAAAGTACAGTATGTAATTTATTCAAAAAAGTAATGCGTGTAAAATTTAATGTAAGTCAATGAATATTGTTATAATAATCGATTATTATAATCGACTTTTACCATCTGCTGCTTAATTTTCGTTCTAAGGCCCTGTACACACTAGGCGTTTTTCAACGCGCGTTTAACGCCGAGCTAACGCGCGTTAGCTCGGCGTTCGACGAGCGTTAGTTCGGCGTTTAGCACTGGCTCAGTTTGGAAATGGACGAGAAAGTAATTGATTGTGTGTGCTCCTCCATCGTCGCTATAAGGCAGCACATATATCTCAAAGCGCCCGTAAAGTGCCCGCAAAACGCGCGTTTTAACAAAAATCTATAAACGCGCGTTTAACGCGCGCTTGGCGTTTGAGTGTGTACGGCTACATAGAACTCTTGGTTCTTTAAAACGCGCGTTGAAAAACGCCTAGTGTGTACAGGGCCT